GGCCCCAGAGTGGGGTGGGAATTAAGAATTTGCAATGCCCTTCCCCCAGGAGTGGGGAGGGAATGGGGATTTTGTAGGATCCTTCCCCTCCACACCCACCGAGCCACGCCCATAGAACCCGTAGTAAAAAAAAAAAAAGAATTTCACCATTGGATAGGATAAGATAGGATGGAATGGGATAGGGTAGGGTAGAGAATAGAATAGAGAATAATTTAGAATTAGAATTAGGAGAATTAGAATAGGGTAGGATGGAATGGGATAGGGTAGAGAATAGAATAGGTTTAGGTTTATTCAATTTATATGCTGCCCTTCTCCCAAGGACTCAGGGCAGCGTACAACATTAAAAGAAACACATAATACAAAAGTTTAAAAAAATTAAATAGAATATCCCAAACCCAATTAAAATTGACAATGACATTTTTTAAAAAGAATTAAAATTAAAATTAACAGTAATCAATAATTTGTTTTGTTCAGGCCAGGCTGGCTTGCTGGAAAAGCCAACTTTTTAGAATAGAATAGAAATAGAATAGAATAATTTAGAATTAGAATTAGGAGAATTAGAATAGGGTAGGATGGAATGGGATAGGGTAGAGAATAGAATAGAAATAGAATAGAATAATTTAGAATTAGAATTAGGAGAATTAGAATAGGGTAGGATGGAATGGGATAGGGTAGAGAATAGAATAGAAATAGAATAGAATAATTTAGAATTAGAATTAGGAGAATTAGAATAGGGTAGGATGGAATGGGATAGGGTAGAGAATAGAATAGAAATAGAATAGAATAATTTAGAATTAGAATTAGGAGAATTAGAATAGGGTAGGATGGAATGGGATAGGGTAGGGTAGAGTAGAAAATAGAATATATTAGAATTAGCAGTAGAATTAGAATAGGAGTGGGATGGGATGGGGTGGATTAGAATAGAATAGAATAGAATAACAGAGTTGGAAGGGACCTTGGAGGTCTTCTAATCCAAACCCCTGCTCAGGCAGGAAACCCTACACCATTTCAGACAAATTTAAATAGTAAGCCAAATGAATGTTTGTGGATGTGCTTCTATAAGTCCTTGACTTACAACTGTTTGTTTAGTGACTATCCAAGGTTACTGAAAAAAGTGACTTATTGACCATTTTTCACAACTGAAAACATTCCCCATGGTCACGCGATCAGAAATTCAGACGCTTGGCAACGGACTCATCGTTATGACGGTTGCAGTGTCCAGGGGTCATGGGACCCCACTTTTTGCGGCCGTCTGATGAGCAAAGGCAATGGGTAAGCCGGATTCACTGAACGACGGTGTTACTAACTTACCAACTGCAGCGATCCACTTAACAACAACGTCCAGAAAGGTCGAAAGATGGGGCAAAATTCACTCAACGGTCTCGCTTAGCAATAGAAATTGTGTTCCTAAACCCAGGACTACCTCCTGTACACACATTTGCTCCTATTCCAAAAGGAAAGAGCAAGTTTCTGGTCCTTATGACCTCTGGAAGACTTATTGTGGGGGCAGGAGGAGGGGCGCTTCAATTCTCCTAGCCGAGTTTTGTACATTTCGACTACCTTGTTCTGGCATTCCAGATATATCTGCAGCAACCAGATAATCCGAGTAAATATTTACTATGTAGAGAGAACATTTCATGCCCTTGTCCCTTCCAGTACGTGTCTGGCTTTCTCTCCGTCTTCAGTTTCCCATAGATTAGCAAACAGCCATCTGAATTTTTTTCCTAATTTTTTTGCACGCACACATATGCATGCACACCACCACCCCAAACTTGGATTTTCCCCCTCTGTGGCACGTTGGTCACACGGAAGTCCTTATCGGCCGAGAGAAAAAGGCTAGAAGGTCAGGTTCTCAAACATCTTGGGAATTTCAGCTCTTGCGAGATTTCAGTGCTTCCAGGATTTCTAAGCCAGAGGTGATATTGGGCCGGTTCGGACCGGTTCATCTGAATCGGTTATGGAAATCGTGGGTGGGCTGTCTCTATGCCGTCCCTTTTAGGCACGTTTTTCATGACAAATCACATGTGCGGAAAGCTGAGCGTGCGTGCTCACATTTCCAAACTGGTAGGGAAGGGTGGCTCAGTGGCTAAGACGCTGAGCTTGTCGATGAGAAAGGTCGGCAGCTTGGCGGCTCGAATCCCCAGCGCCGCATAATGGAGTGAGCTCCCGTGACTTGTCCCAGCTTCTGCCAACCTAGCAGTTCGAAAGCACGTAAAAAATGCAAGTGGAAAAATAGGAACCACTTTTGGTGGGAAGGGAACAGCATTCCGTGTGCCTTCGGCATTTAGTCATGCCAGCCACATGGCCACGGAGACGTCTTAGGACAGCGCTGGCTCTTCGGCTTTGAAACGGAGATGAGCATTGCCCTCTAGAGTCGGGAACAACTAGCACATATGTGCGGGGGAACTTTTATCTTTTAGGGAAGGTAAGTTAATACCACCTTTGTTCTAAGCTATTATTTTTCTCCACTACTGGATGTGTAGAATAGCTGGCAGAACTGATTAGGATTTTGTGAGTGTTGAAAATCTTTGGTGGGTCTCCAACCCATTGGAGAGAGCAGTGCGATGCTGGTGTTTGTTATAAGGAAAACCATTAAAAAACATGGAGAGTGGGATCTTCTATAACTCCAAAGTCCAGTTAATTTCTTGGAGTGATTTGTAATGGCCTTTTCCCAGTATATTTTTCTTGTCCTGCTGGTTTAACCCACAGCTATGTTTCCTGCTAAACTCTTATTTATTTTTTATTTAGTTATTTAGTTTGTCAAACATGTACAAGATAACAGATACACATATAAACATAGACATGAGCTAAGGAAATGAGTACAAATATATGGGGAGAGTAGGACAGGGACGGTAGGCACGCTGATGCGCTTATGCACGCCCCCTTTACGGACCTCTTAGGAATGGGGTGAGGTCCATGGTAGAGAGTTTGAGGTTGAAACTAAGTGGGGAGGGGGTTGAGGATGTAACAACAAAGTCAGGTAGAGCATTCCAGGCATTGACCACTCTGTTGCTGAAGTCGTATTTTCTGCAATCGAGTTTGGAGCAATTTACCTTGAGTTTGTATCAATTGTTTGCCCGTGTATTATTGAGGTTGAAGCTGAAGTGGTCGTTGACAGATAGGATGTGGTGGCAGACAATTTAGTGTACTATGCTTAGGTCAGATCAGGTGGCATAGTTCCAGGTTGTCCAAGCCCAAAATTTCGAGCCTGGTGGCATAAGGGGTGGCGCAGTGGTTAGAGTGCAGCACTGCAGGCTAGTTCAGCTGACTGCGGTTCTGCAGTTCGGCTGTTCAAATCTCACCGGCTCAAGGTTGACTCAGCCTTCCATCCTTCCGAGGTGGGTAAAATGAGGACCCGGATTGTTGGGGGCAATATGTTGACTCTGTAAACCACTTAGAGAGGGCTGAAAGCCCTATGAAGCGGTATATAAGTCTAACTGCTATTGCTATTGCTATTGTTGTGAGCAGAGGAGTGGAGGACTCTTCTCGTGAAACACCTCTGGAGCCGCTCAATCATATTAATGTCCGATATCCAGTGTGGATTCCAGGCAGACGAGCTGTATTCGAGAATGGGTCTGGCAAAGGTTTTTCACACCAACCACACCTGTTCTTGGATTTTTCAGACTGCCGAGGGGTGGACTTCGCTTTCCATCATCCCCAGCCAATACTTTAACTACAGTTGTTCAGGCAGCAGCTTTTCTCGTGACTCAAGGCCTCACTGTCTTGGGTGGAAAGTTGGGGCAGATGGAAATCCAATTCCTGTTTCGAGAGGGAACCTGAATGAAGGTTACTTTCAGGAAAGTTGAGATTTCTGAGACAGCTAGCATTAAATTGTTTCAACTTCTACCCTCAAAACGGCACTATAGGGCACTGCACACCAGAACAACTAGACACAAGGATGCTTTTCCCCCATGCCATCATTCTGCTAAAAAAACTACTGTCAGACTGTTTACTAAGATTATTAATATTATTCTTCTCATCTTTCCTGTTACCTATTTCCTTTTCTACTTATGATTATAACTTTGTTGCTTGCATCTTTATGGTTTATATTGTTTAATTTAGCTTCCTAGTACGATTTATGTTGATTCTATCACTTAAGTGTTGTCTCTTATGATTTATGATGTATTTTTATTATGACTATGATCATAGTTTATGGCTTTTATGTACATTGTTTGCCCGTGTATTATTGCGGTTGAAGAAATCGTTGACAGGTAGGACGTTGTAGCTGACAATTTTGTGTACTACGCTTAGGTCAGACCATAAGCGGTGCAGTTCCAGGTTGTCCTAGCCCAAAATTTGGAGCCCGGTAGTGTAAGGGATTCTATTATGAGTAGAGGAGTGGAGGACTCTTCTCGTGAAATACCTCTGGATCCGCTCGATCTTATTAATGTCCGATAAACAGTGTCGATTCCAGGCGGATGAGAATTCCTATGGCCCCTCCCATAGGAAACCAAAGAGGAGCGAAAGGGGAGTGGACTTTTGCAGGAAACAATTCGTTCGTTCGTTCATTCGTTTCAGGAGTGTGAAGATCTGTCCGTGAATCTCAGAGACTCTCTGCCCAGTCTTTCCTTGCACTGCTTGGAAAATATTGACATGGCAGCTCTCCAAGCCAGATAAGGTCTGTGACCGTAAATCCTCCCTCGAAAGACTTTGCTGGATGTGAAAGAGCAGAATTCACCGTCAATTAATAAAAGGTTTTTTTTTTCTCGGGACAAGGAGTTTGCTTCATGCTCTCCGGAAGCTTCAGTCAGAACAGGATGCGAGGATGTAGCAACTGTGCCTTCCCCCCCAAAAAACTGCCATAAAATCAGGTGCGACTCGCTTAATGGCCTCCTTTGCTTAACAAAGGAAATTCTGGTTCCAATTGCCATCGTATGTTGAGGATTGGCAGTTCATTTCAATAAATATTGTGGTGTTGGAAGAAAGAGCCAATACGCAGGGACCTTTGTCCTGCACAGTTGAAGGAGCAAAGTCTATTTTGTCATCAGAAAATTCACTGGATCTGCCACCTAATCGTTTTGCTTCTAATCCTCTGCTAACGTTTTCTAGATTCTCCGATATATACTGTATCTCCTCCTGGATCGATTCATTTATCTCTCCCTTTTTTCCCCCCCTTTTTCCTTGCAGCTTGGTAAATGAGTATGGAAGATTATGACTTTCTCTTCAAGATAGTTTTAATCGGGAACGCTGGTGTGGGGAAGACCTGCTTAGTACGACGGTTTACACAGGTAAGAAGGGGTTAAATGGATATGGGAGCCTCGTCGGTATTTTTGCATAGCGGGGGAGAAAAGGGCTGGATATGATAGGATCTCTCTCCCCCCCACCCACCCCAATTCGCTCTAGAGCTCCGTATCCGATTTGAGCCATTTGCTTTGGATGGGAGATGATACATTTCATTTCATTGTTTTACCTGATTTTGTTTTTATTTCATTTATTATTTTTGTTTTATTTCCTGTCCCTCCTTGCATGCTCAAATGCAAAAAGGGGAAAAGAAATACACAGGTACAGGATAGGTGGTTCCTTGCTCAATAGTAGTAACGGTGAGAGGGATCTTGGAGTCCTAGTGGACAACCATTTAAATAGG